GAAAAGAGAAATATCTAATAAGCTCCATCAGGAATAAAAAAGGAGATATCACAACTGATCCCAAAGAGATACAAGATACAATTTATGAATACTACAAAAATCTTTATGCACACAAACTAGAAAATGTGGAGGAAATGGACAAATGTCTAGAAACACACAGCCTCCCTAGGCTCAACCAGGAAGAAATAGATTCCCTGAACAGACCAATCTCAACAGCTGAAATAGAAACAGCAATTAAAAATCTCCCTAAAAGAAAAGTCCCGTCCAGATGGCTTCACCACTGAATTTTACCATACTTACAAAGAAGAACTAGTACCTATCTTGCAGAAACTATTCCACAACATCGAGAAGAACGGAAACCTCCCCGACACCTTTTATGAAGCGAATATTACTCTGATACCAAAACCAGGAAAGGATGCAACAAAAAGAAAACTACAGACCAATATCCCTAATGAATATAGATGCAAAAATTTTACAAAATCTTAGCTAACGAATCCAGACACTTATCAAAAAAATAATCCACCACGACCAAGTGGGCTTCATCCCAGGATGCAGGGATGGTTCAACATACGTAAATTATAAATGCAATTCACCACATAACAGAAGCAAAAACAAAGACCACATGATTCTTTCAATAGATGCAGAAAAAGCTTTTGACAAAATTCAACACCCTTTCATGATACGAACACTTAAGAAAATAGGCATAGAAGGGACATACCTAAAAATGATACAAGCCATATATGACAGACCCAAGCCAAATCTACTCAATGGGGAAAAATTGAAATCATTCCATTAGAACTGGAACAGACAAGGCTGCCCACTATCTCCACTTCTGTTCAACATAGTACTGGAAGTCTTGGCTACAGCAATCAGACAGGAAAATGGAATCAAAGGTATCCAAATAGGGGCAGAAGAGTCAAACTTTCACTGTTTGCTGATGATATGATATTGTATCTAGAAAACCCAAGATTCAACCAAGAGACTCTGGAACTGATCAAGAATTTAGTAAAGTCTCAGGATACAAATCAATACACAGAAATCAGAGGCATTCATTACGCCAACAACAATCTAATTGAGAACCAAATCAAAGACTCAATTCCCTTCACATAGCAACAAAGAAATTAAGTACCTAGAATATACTTAACCAAGGACGTAAAAGACCTCTACAGGGAGAACTATGAAACACTGAGGAAGGAAATAGCAGAGGATGTAAACAGATGGAAATCCATACCATGCTCGTGGATCGGCAGACTCAATATTATCAAAATGTCTATACTACCCAAACTGATCTACAGATTCAATGCAATACCTATTAAAATCCCATCAGCATTCTTCACAGATATAGAAAAAATAATTCTACGCTTCGTATGGAACCAAAGAAGACCCCGAATATCAAGAGCAATTCTAGGCAACAAAAACAAATGGAGGCATTAATATGCCAGATATCAAACTATATACAAAGCTGTAGTAATAAACAATATGGTATTGGCACAAATAATGAATATTGACCAGTGGAACAGATGTGAGAATCCTGATATAAAACCATCCTCATATAGCCATCTAATCTTTGACAAAGCAGACAAAAACATACGCTGGGGAAAAGAATCCATCTTCAATAAATGGTGCTGGGAAAACTGGATAGCACCTGTAGAAGGCTAAAACAGGACCCACACCTTTCACCTCTCACAAAACCAACTCATGCTGGATAACAGACTTAAACCTAAGGGATGAAAACTATTAGAACGCTAGAGGAAAAAGTTGGAAACACTCTCCTAACATTGGCCTGGGCAAAGAGTTTATGAAGAAGTCCCCAAAGGCAATCACAGCAGCAACAAAAATAAATAAATGGGACATGATCAAACTAAAAAGCTTCTGCACAGCCAAAGAAATAGTCATGAAAGTAAACAGACAACCTACAGAATGGGAGAAAATTTTGCATCCTATGCATCTGATAAGGACTGATAACTAGAATATACTTAGAACTCACGAAAATTAGGAAGAAAAAATCAAATAACCCCATTAAAAAGTGGGCAAAGGACTTGAACAGAAATTTTTCTAAAGAAGACAGAAGAACGGCCAACAAACATATGAAAAAATGCTCAACATCTCTAATCATCAGGGAAATGCAAATAAACCACAATGAGAGTATCACTTAACCCCAGTGAGAATGGCCTTTATCAAAAAATCTCCAAACAATAAATGCTGGCATGGTTGGAGAGAGAGGAACACTCCTACACTGCTGGTGAGACTGCAAACTAGTTCAACCTCTGTGGAAAGCAATATGGAGATACCTTAAAGCGATACAAGTGAATTACCATTTATCCAGCAATCCCATTGCTGGCATCTACCCAAATGATCCAATGATACTCTACAAAAAAGACACCTGCACTTGAATGTTTATAGCAGCACAATTCATAATTGCAAGGCTGGGGAAACAGCCCAAGTGCCCATCAATCCAAGAATGGATTAATAAAATGTGGTATATGTATACCATGGAGTACTATTCAGCTCTAAGAACAATGGTGATATAGCACATCTTATATTTTCCTGGTTAGAGCTGAACCATACTACTAAGTATCCCAAGAATGGAGAAACAAGCACCAGATATATTCTCCAGCAAACTGGTATTAACTGAGTAGCACCTAAGTGGACACATAGGTACTACAGTGATAGGGTATTGGGCAGGTGTGAGGGGGGAGGGGGGCGGGTATATGAATACATAATGAGTGAGATGTGCACCATCTGGGGGATGGTCATGATGGAGACTCAGACTTTTGGGGGGAGGGGGAAATGGGCATTTATTGAAACCTTAAAATCTGACCCCCATATATGCCGAAATAAAAAAAAATCAAATTCTGCCTTCAGGACTGTTGGGAGTAAAATGAATAACTTATACGCCCTGCGTAGCGTAGCAGTGACAGCATTTCATAGGACTACACAGCCTCCTTAGCTCCCTTCTCAGCTCCTTCCCTGCTGCATTTCCTCGCCCAGCCTTTTTCACACCGAAATTCTGGCCATTGCTTAACAGTACCAGACTTTTTCAAGCTTTACTGCCTGTACATGGACTATTTTCTTTAAAAGGCTTTCTCCTCCAGAAAAAACTCATCTTTCAGGATTTCAATCAACTGGTACCATCACTGTGAAACTTTCTGATTTCCCCAGGCAGGACTAAATCCATTCTACTACTTCCACTGCTCTATTATAAAAACATTTTATTCATTTGAAATGTGTTCTCTATTAGTCTTCCTTATTCCTCTGTGAGTTTCCTGAGGGCAAATGCTCATGCCTTGTTTTATTTCTAGCACCTAGCCTAGTGCTTGGCACATAGATTGTGCTGAATAAAAGCTTGTGACATGGCTGGAATGTTTTATTCACAAATGATACTTTGGTGACTTAAGATAAATATTCAGAGTATAATAGCTTAAGATTTTTGACAGGAATTATATTAAGTAATTTCAATATTTTGGGGTTTTTTTTTTGGTTTTGGTTTTTTTTGAGACAGAGTCTCCCTTTGTTGCTCAGGCTAGAGTACCATGGTGTCAGCCTAGCTCACAGCAACCTCCAACTCCTGGGCTCAAGCGATCCTTCTGCCTCAGCCTCCTGAGTAACTGGGACTACAGGCATGCACCACCATGCCTGGCTAATTTTTTCTATATATATTAGTTGGCCAATTAATTTCTTTCTATTTATATTATAGATGGGGGTCTCACTCTTGCTCAGGCTGGTTTCCAACTCCTGACCTTGAGCAATCCACCTGCCTCAGCCTCCCAGAGTGCTAGGATTACAGGTGTGAGCCACCTTGCACGGCCAATATATTTTGTTTTGAAAATGTTTTTCCAGGCTGGGCATGGTGGCTCACGCCTATAATCCTAGCACTCTGGGAGGCCAAGGAAGGGGATCATTTGAGCTCAGGAGTTAGAGACCAGCCTGAGCAAGAGCAAGACCCCATCTCTACTAAAAATAGAAAGAAATTAGCTAGACAAAAAATATAAGAAAAAGTTAGCCGGGCATGGTGGCGCATGCCTGTAGTCCCAGCTACCCGGGAGCTGAGCCAGAAGGATTGCTTATGCCCAGGAGTTGAGGTTGCTGTGAGCTAGGCTGACGCCACGGCACTCACTCTAGCCTGGGCAACAAAGTGAGCCTCTTCTCAAAAAAAAAAAAAAAAATTGCCTGGATTGAAATCCCAGCTTCTTTATCAGCTATGAATTTAGGCAGTCAGTTCCCTGAGCTTATTTCCTCTGCTGTAAAAGAGAGATGACAATAGGATTTATTTTAGAGGGCTGTTCTGAGGATTAAATGAGCTAATCCAAATGAAGCGCTTGGAATGGTGCCTGGCCCAGGGCAGTTGATCAGTACTGCATTTTTGTATTAACACTCCACCTCATTCATTCGTTCAGCCTTCACTTAATTTTGTACACCTTCAGATTGTAGAAATATATTCTCTTCGGATCACCAGGATCTGAATGAAAAACTCTGGCTGAGGAATGGTTACAAAGGTCATAACGATGTTTCAATTTTCAGTACGGATTAATTTGCAATTTTTAACCTATCAGCACGATCATATTTTATCCAGTACACATCCTTTCCCCTTGTCTGGGTCACGCTGAGTTGAAACAACCAAAGCCAAAATTAAAACAAATATTTAAAATCCTCCAGAAAACCAACTAAAAAACGCCCCTTGTAAAACAGGATAGTGCTATTTAGTCTCTGTTTTTTTCTTTTTAACTTCTAACTTTAGGCTTCAGGACTAAAAACAAACTATTAATATTCATTTTCTGCCTTATATGAATGTCTGGATGATGAAATACGCTAATATATGTGAAAAAATATATTTCAGGTTGTTTCAGACAAGCTAGCAGCAGATGCAAGGACGGGGCGGGTGCTTGTAAAATACCACAGTGCGTTTCCGTAATTCGAGAGTAAGTTTGACACTCCGAGGCTCCCGTAGCATAGATTGTTGTCGCGGCCAATATAATGCCACCTGCGCGCTGTTTCTTGAGCTACTTCCGGTGACACGCGGAAGCACGAGTCGGTACTGCAGCTGGTGTCGGCCGTGTGAGTTTTCTTAAGAGCTGCTGACGGCGAAGCGAGGGTGCTGCCAGTATGACCAGCAGAAACAACAACAAGCTGCCCAACAACCTGCCGCAGTTGCAGAATCTGATCAAGCGCGACCCGCCGGCATACATCGAGGAGGTGGGAGTGCGGCGCCACGCGCGCGAGGGGCCCGGGCGGGGATGGCTGACGCCGGCGCGGGAAGACATGGCGTGGCGGTGGGATCCAGGCTACGTTAGATTCGAGGGTCCCTCCGGAGGAGAGAAGGGATTGGGGAAGGGATGTACCTTGGAGTTCGTTCCCCACCTCTTGGACATCTACCGTCTCTTTGGATTTTCTACCTGCTCTGTAGACTCCGCTGCCATAATAGAAACCCCCTTAGAAATCTCATTTTATTTTAAGGTTTATTAATATCTCCGATCACACGGAGGTAGAGAGAGAGAGAGAGACAAATTGCCCCCAGTCTCCAGCTTCCATGCACGATTCTCAGCCTCTTTTCAAAAATTCATAACTTGGTTTAGTCGATAACACTTGGTGAATCATATGTTAAATGAAGGATTGTTGGAGTTGGGGTACTATCAGAAAAGATAAGGAAAATAGGAGATGGTGGTCAGAGAGGGGATTGCTTCTAGTTGAGATTATGAAGGAGCTGTAGTTATTTAGGATGTGACCAGGGGAGTGAATGTTAAGGTAGAGTAAGAGTTGAAGATGATTAGATGAGGAGAGATCAAAGAATTGAGGGGCCAGGATATTGGAAAGACATTTCACATAGATATAATATCAAGCATTGGCCAGGCACGGTGGCTCATGCTTGTAATCCTGGCATGGTGGGAGGCCAAGGCGGGAAGATCGTTTGAGCCCAGGAATTTGAGACCAGCCTGGGCAACACAGCAAGACCCTGTTCTCTACAAAAATATTAGCCCAGGTATGGTGGCCTGTGCCTGTAGTCCCAGCTACTCAGGACCCTGGATCAAGAGGATCGCTTGAGCCCAGGAGTTTGAGGCTGCAGTGAGCTATGATCATACCACTGCACTTCAGCCTGGACAACAGAGTGAGACCCTGTCTCTAAAAAGAAAAAAAAACAAAATAAAAACAATAAAAGACATCAAGAACTGTGACAGGAATTGTGTTAAAGGTTGAAATGTTCGTACAACAACGAGGAGGAATGGTAGGTTTTGAGACATAAGACTCAAAGCTGTGAGTGGGGACAATTAAGGAGGAGAAAAGGGTACCAATCTGGAGGGATTCCAGTGCTTGGGAAGTAACACTAAAGAACAAGGAGGACATCTATGGACTCATCTGTGCTGGGGGGAAGAAAACAATGTGGCAGGGCATCAGGAAAGATGACTGGGCTATTTTAGAAGGTTTAGATGCCCTGGCCTAACCCAGAGTGCTTCAGAATTCTACTTGTGTGAGGATTAGAGTGAGGGACATGAGAGATGGCCTGGGAGTCCTGGGCTTTTGTGGTGACCAGTACACAAAAAGGGCATTATGAAATTAGTCCTGATCATCTCTAGGCAGATGAATAGTGGTAGCTAGGCCATGGTGGGGTTTGGGGAGGAAATGGGGTAAGGATTTTGTCAGCTTCAAGAGATATGGGGCCCTCTTTTCCTTACTCCTGTTCAATGGAGGTTTGGAGTCAAGAGATAAGGTCTTATTCGAAGTATGTAGTAGGGTCTTTTGGTGTCCCTCTGGAATCCTGCTCTTGGAAAAGGTTGGAGGTCTAGCAGTTTTGTTGAGGAAATCAAGAGTTAGGTTTTTCAACCATGCTAAGTTTAAGACATCTGTTAGATGTTTAAACCAAGATGTCAGACAGGTGACTGGATATATGAATTTGGAGTTCACTGAGCCAGGTAAGGCTAATGGTAAATGAATACTCATTCTCATTGTGTGTGTGTGTGTGTGTGTGTCTTTAAAGACATGGACTTTGGATGGAGGGTAGCTATAAGGCATGGAACTGAGGCATGGTGAATTCCAACATTTTTGGGCTGTTATCAGAACTAAACATAAATACATGAGATAATGTATATAATGAGCTTGGCACATAGCAAGGGCTGAATCTATTATTTCCATATGTGTATTGCTCTTGGCTGTAGGACTCTAGCATAAAATCTTAGCTGATATTTAAAAGAAGGGAATTTTGACTGGAGAGCCTGATGTACTTGATAATTTACATTCTCTGACCTGGCATTTTCTGCTGATTTGAGTGCCCTGTATACACAGACAGTGTAGTAGGGGTTGTGTAGGTAGTAAATGGCAAAACAGGGCCAGAATCTGAGCTTTGGACTCGTGCTTCACTGTTCTTTATACCACACCACCCAGACTTCTAATGATAATTCTAAGGAAAGGTTCTTTAGATTGTGATGTGCTTGGATTATTTCAAACCTCATTTTGCAGAATGCAGATAAGGAAAAAGGAATATTTTTATATATTTTTGCCACATCTTTTTCTCCATGCCACTGTCAAAGATTTCTATTAAGTAGTTTTTCATTCTGCACTGAGAAAGTTTTAATAGAATGTGATAAATTTTATTTTTCCACAGTTTCTACAGCAGTATAATCACTACAAATCCAATGTGGAAATTTTCAAATTACAACCAAATAAAACCAGCAAAGAACTAGCAGAGCTGGTGATGTTTATGGCACAGGTAAGAAGATAATTTCTTAGTTAAAACAAAGACCAGTGTTACACACAATTAGTAGAATATTTTTTCACCAATATTCAACCTTATTCCACTCTGGAAAGGAAACTTAATTAAACTTTTTTTTTTACTTTCTCTTTTTGCAAATTCTATGTTCTCCCTATTGTAAAATAGAAGATTTTGCTAGATCGTTTCACAGAACCAACCAGAACAAAACTGTCAAACTAATTTTTTTTCGGAGATAGACTTTGTTTAAAAAAAAACTGCTGATTTTTTTCTTCAAATCATCATAAAAGCAGGATCTAAATCATCTCACAAATATTTTACTAAGACTAGAGGAAATGTAAGGGTTGGAGAAATTATGTAGAAGAAAAAGGTGATTTGGAACATCTACTTCTATGAAACGTAGCCTTTTACTCTCATTTTGCAGAATGCCCTAAATCTGTGCATCTGAATTATAGGAGAGAAAGGGAGAAACCTCAGAAGAGCCTTTGCTTTGTTACAGATTGGCCACTGCTACCCTGAACATCTGAGTAACTTTCCCCAAGAGCTGAAAGATCTTCTCTCTTACAATCACACTGTCCTGGATCCAGATCTTCGAATGGTAGGACCAGTATTTGGAATAATAAACTGTGCTGTGTTCAAATGAGAATAACCTCTCAGCTAAATATCTTTGAAAAATGTAAATCAGAGTGTGTCACCTCTTCCTTAAAATCCTTCTGTGGCTTCTTATTTATGCTTAGAATAAAACTCAATAACATGGCCTGTAAGTCCCACCATGATCTATACCCTCCTGTGTTTCTGATCTCAGCCTTTTCTGCTATACTCGGATCTTTCTGTCCTTCCAGCATCCCAGCCCTGCAGGATGCCCCTAAACCTCTTGAGTAGGTGATTCCTTCTAGGCATTCAAACCTTATTCATAAAGAATCCTAAGTACAACTTGTAGTGTTTATACTGCTTAGTTTAATAAACTTGTCCATTAAATAGCCACAAGGGCAGAGACTGTCCTGAAAACTGTGGTAGTAACTAGTTAGTAAGAGACATTAAGTTCTTTGGGATATATATGCTCCATTTTCTCATTTTCTTAACTTTACCATTATCTTATAGTATGCTTTCTTTTCCTTCCGAAGACATTTTGCAAAGCTTTGATCTTGCTGAGAAATAAAAATCTCATCAATCCGTCAAGTTTACTAGAGCTCTTCTTTGAACTTCTGCGTTGCCATGATAAGCTTCTGCGAAAGGTAAAGAGCCAAAAATTTTTTTTTCTACATCTCATTCTTCCTTGAGATGATATAAAATTGTAGAGTTCAGAGTCCCTTGAATTCTTGATGCTTTACATTTTTGGATACAGTTAAGAATGATTTTAATAGGGAAAAATCATTCTATGCATGCAATGTGGTTTTTTTGTTTTTTTGTTTGTTTGTTTTGAGACAGAGTCTCCCTTTGTTGCCCAGGCTAGAGTGAGTGCCGTGGTGTCAGCCTAGCTCACGGCAACCTCAAACTCCTGGGCTCAAGCGATCCTCCTGCCTCAGCCTCTCGAGTAGCTGGGACTACAGGCATGCGCCACCATGCCTGGCTAATTGTTTTCTATATATATTAGTTGGCCAATTAATTTCTTTCTATTTTTGGTAGAGACGGGGTCTCGCTCTTGCTCAGGCTAGTTTCAAACTCCTGACCTCGAGCAATCCACCCACCTTGGCCTCACAGAGTGCTAGGATTACAGGCGTGAGCCACTGCACCCAGCCACGATGTGGTATTAATAGCTAATATCTTGAGTGCAGACTTTCTACCAGGCACCATTCTAAGAGCTTTTGTGTATTTACTCATTTACTCATAAAGCCCTATGAAATAGGGATTATTATTATTATTTCTTTATAGATGAAAAGACTAGGGCACAGAGAGAGAGAGTAACTTGCCCAGGGTCACACTGGTGCGTGGTGGGGCTGGAGTATAAATCTAGGCCATCTGGCTCCAAAACCCAAGCCCTTTACTCCTGCATTAAACTGACTGGCTAAGTCAGGACATTGGTGGTCACAGCTATAACTGAACCCTCCCCCCCCCAATAAAACTAACTTTTTGTTGCCGTTATTAACATTTTCTCTTGACATTGTATTTGTTTATATATAAGACCAGAAGCTGAAGCTTTATGAAAGAAATTTAAGAAAGAAAAACTTAAGTTTACATTCATTAACTGCCACTATTTGATTTTAGCAGTTGTATTTCTTGGTCTAATTTGTGGAATAAAAGTGGCAGCATATTTTGAGTACCAGTGATATTTGTATTCCCAGTATTATCCTGCGTGTAGTTAGGTGCAAAAAAAGCCAACTTTATTGAGATATAATCCACATACAGTTCATCCACTTAAAGTATACAATTCATTGGTTTTTAGTGTATTCACAGAGTTGTGCAACCATTACTACAATCAATTTTAGAACATTTTTTATCACCCCCAAAAGAAACTCGATTCCCATTAGCAGTCAGTCCTCTTAACCCCATCTATTCCAGCACTGGGGAATCACCAGACTACTTTTGGTCTCTATAGATTTGCCCATCTGGATATTTTATATAAGTGAAGTCATACAATATGTGGTCTTTAGTGGCTAGATTGTTTCACTCAGCATAATATTTTCAAGATTGATGCTTGTTGTAGCATGTATTGGTACTTTATTCGTTTTTGTTGCCAAATAATACTTTGTTGTATGGATATACCAATGTTGTTTATCCATTCATTAATTAATGGACATTTGGGTTATGTCCACTTTTTTGCAATTTAAGTAATGCTGCTACGAATGTTTGTGTGAACATTGATGTGGGAATGTGTTTTCATTTCTCTTGGGTGTATACCTAGTGGAATCATTGGGTCATATGGTAACCCCATGTGTAACCTTTTGAGGGCGACTTTCTTTTGCTTTCTAGCTGCTTTTTTTACTTGTTTTTGGTCTCTTTTGTGATAGAATGAAAAATAGATAAAATTAAGTCATCTTACACATTTATACTTTTCTCCAAATTTAGCAAGGTTAGAAATGTTAGGTAGGCTTAATGTGTATGTATTTTTATTTTCTTTTCCTTAGACTTTATATACACATATTGTGACTGATATCAAGAATATAAATGCAAAACACAAGAACAATAAAGTGAATATAGTAAGTACCCTTTTGTTTTCTATGTTTACAGCATTGTACAGTTGTACCATCAGTGCGTTCAGTTTCTTTGTCTTTCTTTTCTTCAGGTATTGCAGAATTTCATGTATACCATGTTAAGAGATAGCAATGCAACTGCAGCCAAGATATCTTTGGATGTGATGATTGAACTCTATAGAAGGAACATCTGGTAATATAGATGTTTGTCTCTTGAAAAGTTGACCTTTTTTTTCATTTGTGATTAATATAGAGCACATATACAATTTTTTTTTATCTTGAGCTCCTTAGTATACCTCTGTTGTGTAGATTAAGTTGGAAGTGAAAATTGAGGCAATCTAAATGACTAATAACATGGGCTACCATTTCTTGAGCATCTGCTGAAGTCAGGCACTTTGAAATTATCTTGTTTAACCTGAAGAACAACTTGAGAACAAATGCAGCTTGTCTGGAATTATCCCCATTGTATAGGTAATGAAATGGAAGTTCATTGTGTTAGTAAGAGTATTTAGATAGTAAGAGGCAGAGCTGAATTTCAAACCCAGGTCTGTCTGACTCCAGAATCTGTGCTCTCTACTCTGCCATTGTGAAAATTTTCAGGTCAGTTCACCTTATATATATAAAATATTATGCTTCACATACTTTGGTTTGTTGGTATAGTGCCCTCAACTCATGTCTTTTGCTTTTCTTACTAACCAGAAAAGTAATATTTATTGCACCAGAAAGTTCAGAGAAACGAGAACAGATTTTTTAAAACTTGTAAGTCCAACCACGCAGAGACAGTCACTGTTAGTATTTTATAGTATTTCCTCCTGATCTTTTCTTTAATGTACATTTTTAAATATGGTTGGAATTTTTCTGTATTATATTTTTTTATTCTGGGGGTCCCCTCCCCCACTTACCTTGAGTAGGTTCCTATGCCATTAAAAATTCTTCATACTCCATCCTAATGGCTGCAAACTTTCTGTCATAAGACTGGGCTAAAATTTAACTGAATGTTCTACCTGTAGTTGACTAATTTAGCAACACATGACTTTTTAAAATATTATGATTGGGAATTCTGATGTGTCTGAAATATTATATTATTTATTTTGTGCCATTGTGTGTGCTATGAAATACAGTAGAATGGAAATTTATTTCAAAGCACTCATTGTCTTCCCCCAGGAATGATGCCAAAACTGTCAATGTTATCACAACTGCATGTTTCTCTAAGGTGACCAAGGTAAGCGCCTGTAGGGCTATGTGACAGCTGCCTGCGATGGGTGTGTGAGGAGCAAGTGGTGTGAGGACCGTACTTTGTGCTTAGCGAGGCTTTCTTTGTTCCTAGACCGCTTCCCTGGGTCATCTGTGCTTTAGAGAAGTCAAACAAAATCATGAGTTTTTCAAATGCTGTGTAGTGAATGATAGCCATAGTGTTTATTTTATGTTTTCCCCTGTGATTCTTGACTTTTCTTCTATTTGACATATGCATAGCTGAAAGAAATTTAAGGGCCAACTTTGGCTTTCTGTTAGAAGGGCTGTAATCTCACTTTTCATGGTGGGGAGGATGTCGAAATTCTTGATAGTCTACTTGAAGGACAACTGTGTAGACCTTAGCAGTTCTAAACTAGTTAAAGGCTTTTAAAAATTACCTATGAGAAAAAAAATTACCTTACTTATGAGACAGAGCATAAAACCAATTTTTAAATTAAGAAAAATTAACAAAAATCTCACCACCTTTTGAATTTTTTTCTTCAGATCCTAGTTCATATGCACGTATAAAGTGTAGTCAAAAGTATTTGGTCTTTGTTGTAACTGAGTTAAGTAAATAACTTTTCTGATTGGTCTTTAGATATTAGTTGCTGCTTTGACATTCTTCCTTGGAAAGGATGAAGAGGAGAAACAGGATAATGACTCAGAATCTGAGGTTAGTTTAATCATAGCTGGTTCTGAATTTTACATTTCATTATTGCTCTGAGTACAAATTGTAAAATCCATAATTGCCTGAGTTAGAAATTTATGTCACCTTTGTCCTTTATTGAGTTCTGCCATGCTGAGATCTTATTCCACTTAGAATTTGTCGCTTGTGGCTGGGTGTGGTGGTCCATGACTGTAATCTTAGCACTCTGGGAGGCTGAGGTGGGAGTATCGCTTGAGCTCAGGAGTTTGAGACCAGCCTGAGCAAGAGCGAGACTCCAATCCTACTAAAAAATAGAAAAAATTAGCCAGGAACGGTGGTGTGTGCTTGTAGTCCCAGCTATTTGGGAGGTTGAGGCAGGAGGATCACTTGAGCTCAGAAGTTTGAGGTTGCAGTGAGCTATGATGACGCCACTGCACCCTAGCCTGGGCAACAGAGCAAGACTCTGTCTCAGTAAAAAAGAATTTGTCACTTGCATTCAGAAAGATTGGTTAAATAATTAATAAAACAGATCCATTCAACCTTTGTCTTAGTTCTAAAGCTGTATCTATATTTTGCTATAAATTTAGAATGAAAATTTTCACCAATGTATTTCTTTAGGTAATGTCAACATCGTAGAAGTTTAGAGTGGAGGAAGGAAGGGGAGTAATGTGGCATTTATTTATTTATTCATTTATTTTTTGGGAGACAGAGTTTTGCTCTGTTTCTGTTAGAGGCTGTTTAACAGAAAATGGTATTTTTTTCAGGAATAAGGCATTGCAGTGGGAATATGCTTGCCATAATAAGGTATGTGTGTATTCAGGTAGATAAAGAGAGGTTTTTAAAGGAAAAATGAAGAGGATCACGTAACTGTTTTGAGATAATTATTGGCTAATCCAAGGGTCAGTAGCAAGAGGGGTGCCAGTCCGAGGTTAGACAGGCAGCTGCTGGGAAAAATGTCCTTGCAGAAATGGTTTTTCTGTAAGGTTGCCGTGGTATTTGTGCAACGTTGTGGCTGTTGCAGTCTTTTGTGACAGTTTCTATTATTAGGCTTTCGCATATCAGAGCCTCTCTTCGTGGGCTTCCCCAGCATTATTTGTCAGGGTATGTTTTATCACAAGTGATTCCATTTTGATTCTGACAACTTTCACATAAAAATTTCTAGCTACTACACATAAAAGTTTTCTTGTTCCTGTCCTACTTCCCAGTTCCTTCTTTACAGATAACCATTTTATTTTCTATTTATTTATGTATGTGTATGTGCACATATAGTTTCATGTGTATAGTAGGTTTTTAAAAACTAGCTCGGGTGTGGTGGCTCACGCCTCTAATCCTAGCACTCTGGGAGGCTGAGGTGGGTGGATCACTCAAGGTCAGGAGTTCGAAACCAGCCTGAGCGTGGCCCTGTCTCTACTAAAAATAGAAAGAAATTAATTGACCAACTAAAAATATATATACAAAAAATTAGCTGGGCATGGTGGTGCATGCCTATAGTCCCAGCTACTCGGGAGGCAGAGGCAGTAGAATTGCTTGAGCCCAGAAGTTTGAGGTTGCTGTGAGCTAGGCTGATGCCACAGCAGTCACTCTAGCCTGGGCAACAAAGTGAGACTCTGATTCAAAATAATAATTATATAAATAACAGGCCGGGCACGGTGGCTCACACCTGTAATCCTAGGACTCTGGGAGGCCCAGGCGGGCAGCTCGCTCAAGCTCAGGAGTTTGAGACCAGCCTGAGCAAGAGCAAGACCTAAAAATACTAGGTCTCTACTAAAAATAGAAAGAAATTATCTGGACAATTAAAAATATATAGAAAAAATTAGCCGGGCATGGTGGTGTATGCCTGTAGTCCCAGCTACCCAGGAGGTGAGGCAGGAGGATCACTTGAGCCTAGAAGTTTGAGGTTGCTGTGAGCTAGGTTGATGCCATGGCACTCTAGCTCAGGCAACAGAGTGAGACTCTGTCTCAAAAAAAACCCAAAAAACTATAAATAACATATCTATTATTCTGTCAATATATATAGCTCTACTAGTACATTTAGATCTTCTAAGTTATTAATACATACAGATCTACCTTATTCTTTTTTTTTTTTTTTTTTGAGACAGAGTCTCGCTTTGTTGCCTAGGCTAGAGTGAGTGCCGTGGCGTCAGCCTAGCTCACAGCAACCTCAAACTTCTGGGCTCAAGAGATCCTTCTGTCTCAGCCTCCCAAGTAGCTGGGACTACAGGCATGCGCCACCATGCCCGGCTAATTTTTTCTATATATATTAGTTGGCCAATTAGTTTCTTTCTATTTATAGTAGAGACGGGGTCTCGCTCTTGCTCAGGCTGGTTTCGAACTCCCGACCTTGAGCAATCCGCCCGCCTCGGCCTCCCAGAGAGCTAGGATTACAGGCATGAGCCACCGCGCCCGGACTACCTTATTCTTTTAACCTCCACATAGTTCAGAATATGAATGCATTATAGTTTATTTAGGCATTTCCCTTTTGATAAATATTTGCTTTCAATTTATTTTTTCAAATAAAAACAAAATTGTATTCTATTTATAAAAAGCAAAAGCAGGCCAGGCAGGCACAGTGGCTCACGCCTGTAGTCCCAGCTACTCAGGAAGCAGGGCAGGAGGGTAACTAGAGCCCGAAAGTTCAGGGTTACAGTGAGCTGTGATCTCCCTACTGAACTTCAGCCTGGGCGATAGAAGGAGACTCACCCCCCTCCCCCCAAATACACACACACACACACAGTGAAAGAGAGATATCAATGCTATAGTGAAAATCTTTGTATGTGCCTGTTTGTGCACATGTGTATGCCTATTTTTTACTTGATTTTAAAAGTTGTATTCATTTTTAACAGGTGTGTGCAAAGAGCATAAAAACCAAGAAGTAGATTAAAGAACTGATTTTTGCTTCTATGCAGATTTTCCTTGTTTATGATTTTACAAAGTAATCTCTTCTTCAGGATGAAGGACCAACAGCAAGAGATCTGCTAGTGCAGTATGCTACAGGGAAGAAAAGTTCCAAAAACAAGAAAAAGTTGGAAAAGGCAATAAAAGTGCTCAAGGTGAGACTTGTATTTGGAAAGTGAGATAGGAATCATTGGAATGCAGGATATGTAGTTTTCAGCCAGAGCTCTTTAGGAATTTAAAATCAAGGAATAGCATTTGCAAAAGACTTAGAAATATGTGATGAAGTTTTAAGCACTGATTTCTTAGATGAATAAATGTAATCAGCTCTAGCAAAATCTATGGCTTGGATAAATTAATTTGATTAAATTCACTTTTCGCTTCTTCTGATCACACTGGCTTATACTAGGGTGTCTTTGCTAGACACATCTTCTCAGAAGAGTACATGAATAAAGTACGTTTGATAATTTGTAATGATTATTCTGAAAATCATTAATTTGGCCCTTGTGTGTTTTTTAATGTTTGTATTTCCGAATTCCTCTAAGTCTCACAGGTGCTAATGGCTGCGACATTCCCAAGGTTTAATCTTTTTTTTTTTTTTTTTTTTTTTGAGACAGAGTCTCAGCCTAGCTCACAGCAACCTCAAACTCCTGGGCTCAAGCGATTCTGCTGCCTCAGCCTCCCGAGTAGCTGGGACTACAGGCATGCACCACCATGCCCGGCTAATTTTTTCTATATGTTATTTGGCCAATTAATTTCTTTCTATTTATAGTAGAGACGGGGTCTCGCTCTTGCTCAGGCTGGTTTTGAACTCCTGACCTCGAGCAATCCGCCCGCCTCGGCCTCCCAGAGTGCTAGGATTACAGGCGTGAGCCACCGCGCCCGGCCCCAAGGTTTAATCTTGAGATTAACTTTAAAAGGCAAAAACAACTTTTGTTCTTCCATTAGAAAGAAAAGTTTTTGGAACAAGGATTTTTTTTTTTTTTCTTTTTAAATAGTCTTTAAAGGACTTTATAAAAGCCATTAGCACATTGAATTCTAAGGGTGTGATCACTGTAATTCAGATTAGAAACGTTTTTTCTCTCCCTTTCAGAAACAAAAGAAGAAAAAAAAGCCAGAAGTGTTTAATTTTTCAGCTATTCACTTGATTCATGATCCCCAAGGTACTATATATTATGACTTCCCTAGTTCCTTGTTGGCCTTATCCCTGCGTGTTTTGTTTCCTGCTTTCAGGGTTGTCAGGGGATATGTTAATTAGATCCCTGGCACTTAATAGACAGTCAATAAATGCTTAATTGTTACTAGTTAGTTGTAATCTAGAGAATTATGTTCTAAAGCAGTGACTCCCAGTTTACAACAAAATAAAAATGGAACAACAGGCCTATCTGAGTTTCATGTCTTTAACAACATAATATTAGCACATTGTACTTGACCAAATACAAAATTGACAGTCTTTTGTTGTTCCTTTTTAAAAAAAAACCTAGTCTGTGGAAACCAAAAGTCTGGGAAACCCTGTGCTAGACCGCTAATTCTCAAAGTAAGCTGTACATTGGCATCACCTGGGGAATTGGGGCCTGTCATTCCCAGAGATTCTGATTTAGTTGGTATGGGATGTGGTTGGGTGTCTAGGACTATTAAATGCTCTCTGTACTCTAGTATGTGGTGACATTTGGTGATCTCTTCTGTGGATTAGTGTCTGTCAGACTTTAACATGCATACAGGTCACCTGGGGGACTTGTTAAGTGCAGAGTCTGATTTCAGTAAGGCTGGGGTGGGGCCTCAGATTCTGCTTTTCTAAGGAACTCCCAGCTGTGGCTGGTCTCAAAGGCTGGACCACCCTTTGAGAAGTAAGCTCTGGAGAGCTATTAAGTAGAGAACCTATCAAATACTCTAGTTATTGATGCTGAAATTATTGGGATTTCTTAAGATTTTACTTTGGGCATCATTAAAAGTATATTCACTTGAATACGAATCTGTTCACTGATTTAACTGCTCCCTTTTCCTATGCCTGTTGTTAATATGTAAATTTTGTATAGACCATGGCCTTACAGTCTGCTTCTTTGGTCTTTTCCTTTCCAGATTTTGCAGAAAAACTACTAAAGCAGCTCGAGAGCTCTAAGGAGAGGTTTGAAGTGAAGATGATGCTCATGAACCTCATCTCCAGATTAGTAGGAATTCATGAGGTTTGGATTACATTATGCTTCTCTTGGTGAATATTAGAAGTAGAGTTAGGCCAGGTGTGGTGGCTCAAGCTTGTAATGCTATCACACTGGGAGGCCAAGGTGAGTGGATCGTTTGAGCTCAGGAGTTCAAGACCAGCCTGAGGAAAAGCGAGACCCTATCTCTACCAAAAAATAGAAAAATTAGCCAGGCATGGTGGCGCATGCCTGTAGTCCCAGTTACTTGGGAGGCTGAGGCAGGAGGATCGCCTGAGCTCAGAAGTTTGAGGTTGCTGTGAGCTAGGCTGATGTCATGGCACTCTAACCTGGGCAGCAGAATGAGACTCTGTCTCAAAAAAAAAAAAAAAAAAAATCACACATGAATAGAAGTACTTGTTGCCTTTCTCTAAGAAAAACCTGTTGACATTTCACCAACTACATTTCTTTTTCTCCATGGGCTGTAGTCCTGGTGTAAGATCACCAGGTCAATTCTTGTTACATTTGTGCAGTGATTTCATTCAGACTTGAATTTGAGCTCAAGAGGAAAGCAAGAGTGATTTGCGATTTGAGCATGGTTTGATGGAATGACGTTGGAGTTTCACACTGACTAAAACTGGACATCCCTCTTTTTTTTTTTTTTTTTTGAGACAGAGTCTTGCTTTCTTGCCCAGGCTAAAGTGAGTGCTGTGGCATCAGCCTAGCTCACAGCAACCTCAAACTCCTGGGCTCAAGCGATCCTACTGCCTCAGCCTCCCGAGTAGTTGGGACTATAGGCACGTGCCACCATGCCCGGCTAATTTTTTGTATATATATCAGTTTGCCAATTAATTTCTTTCTATTTATAGTAGAGACGGGGTCTTGCTCTTGCTCAGGCTGGTTTTGAACTCCTGACCTTGAGCAATCCGCCTGCCTCAGCCTCCCAGAGTGCTAGGATTACAAGCGTGAGCCACCGCGCCCGGCCACATCTTTATATTGAACCAAAGTTTTCCCTGTTACTGCTCAGTGGTCCATCTTACTTTTTGCTCTGTAACTAAAATACAAAAAATGAATTTATTCTCACATGATGAAAATTGAAAAAAAAAAAAAAATCCACTCCAAAATTTCTCTTAAGTTAAAACATTACCTGTTTCTTTAATAACTGGACCCTGGTCAACTTTATCTAGGTAGTTTCCAGGGTGTTAGTGTTTTCTCTTTTAAATATGGACCACAAAAAAAATATGGAGCACAGAGTAATTCCTTTATGTGGTTGGACTAGTGTACAATAATAAAACCAAAAGAGGGTTTTTTAGTGATTAAATTGTAGTAGGTAGTATGGAGATTTGATTTACTGTTTTGTCCCTTGCTTTGGAGCCTGGATATCAGTGCCATTCCTTCCTGTAATCCCCTGTCTCTTAGAACACTAAGAAATCAGTTCTGTAGCCACACCAGTTTTTTTTTGGTTTTTTTTGTTTGTTTGTTTGTTTGTTTTTTGAGACAGAGTCTCGCTTTGTTGTCCAGGCTAGAGTGAGTGCTGTGGCGTCAGCCTAGCTCACATCAACCTCCAACTCCTGGGCTCAAGTGATCCCCCTGCCTCAGCCTCCCGAGTAGCTGGGACTACAGGCATGTGCCACCATGCCCGGCTAATTTTTTGTATATATATCAGTTTGCCAATTAATTTCTTTCTATTTATAGTAGAGACGGGGTCTTGCTCTTGCTCAGGCTGGTTTTGAACTCCTGACCTTGAGCAATCCGCCCGCCTCGGCCTCCCAGAGAGCTAGGATTACAGACGTGAGCCACCACGCCCGGCCGCCAACACCAGTTTTTAGAGTAGAAGAATGTTACGTTTTGTTTACCTCTTCTTCCCTTAGTTAATTCTATGTACACTTTCTTCCTCCTTAAGCATAGCAGCGTGGCCTCATTTGACAAAGAGTACCTTGGTTAATGTAGCATATTGAATCATTCTAGGATATGGTTGGTTACTGAGAAGAAACAAAAGTGAAAAATGATTCTCAATTAGTTGATCTGAGTGATAATAATTGCATCGTGGAGCAGTGACAGCATTGGTTATGTCAATATTAAAGTCGGTGTTCTCTCTACAGCTTTTCCTCTTCAACTTCTATCCCTTCGTGCAAAGGTTTCTGCAGCCCCACCAAAGAGGTGAGCCACTCGCCTGCCACGGTCCTTTGTTGGCTTTGGCAATAGAATTAACATTCAGAGTCTTTTGTCCTGGAATCATTAAAGGCAGAGTTAGGAGTGCAAGTATTCTATATCAGAAGAGGAGAGAAGCCCTTATGTTTTCTTTCTCGGGTCTGCCATGGCCAAGGGTTAGCTGTTCTGCTCCTCAGCCTTAAGAAACCACTGTTTTTGAAAAAAACTAACAACAAATTGGTTTCTCAAAGCAAATCTTTTTGTAATACCATAAGTACTCGTGGAAAATCCTAAAAAAGAAATTCGACCTTTTACTGTATCTTTGTAATAGATAGCAGAATGTTACCGTACTCTTCTCATTGACCTCATATATATTCTCAATTAAAAACAGCAAAAAAGTAGGTAAGAGAGAGATGGTTGTTGCCTTTGAACTTAAACCAAAGTAGAAAGGAAACCAACATTTATGGAGCATCTAACATGAGCCAAGCACTATGCTAAACGCTTTGCACACATCATCTCATCTAATCCTCATATTAGTTCTGTGAGGTGTAGAAAGGGGAAAAAACCCACCAGGGTCCCTCAGCAAATAAATGGCAAATCAGGATTCACCTGGCTTCTTTGTTTTGCTGAGGACCCGTTCCTTACACAATGCCTCCCCTTTGAAGGGAGAGTGTGTGCGTGTATATTTGTATTTATTCATCTGTTCATTGAACAAGTATTTAATTATTTTTATGCCAGGCACAGCATTAGACACTAAGAATTCAACAGTGAACATAAAGCAAACTCCTTTCCTTCATAGAGCTTACATTCTAGAGGGAGATACAGACAGTTCTCTCTGTAATATATCCAGATACAGGTAAGTGTTTTGAAGAAAAAGGATGCAGGGCAAGGATAATAGGGAGTGTGCATCGGGGCGTGTTCTGTTGTGTGACCTGTTGATAGGGCAGCAATTGAGCAGGGACCCGGAGAAAATGAGGGGGTGAACCATGCAGATATCTGGGGGTTGGGCTTGCCAGGTGGAACAGACAGCACTGGCATTGAGGCCAGGATACGCTTGCCACGTTTGCTGTAGTCCTGAGGGGCAGGGCAATGAACTGACTGTGACCTTTTTGTTCTCTTATGTTTTCAGAAGTAACAAAGATTCTTCTGTTTGCTGCACAAGCGTCTCATCACCTAGTACCCCCAGAGGTGAGAACTGCCTTCTGGATCTGTGTGTGGTTAGAAGTGTTACTCTTTGCTGGTTAATCACTTTTCCCACAGGAGTTTCATTTATAGCGATTCTTTTTCTTTTTCTTTTTCTTTTCTTTTTTTTTTTTTTGAGACAGAATCTCACTTTGTTGCCCAGGCTAGAGTGAGTGCTGTGGCGTCAGCCTAGCTCACAGCAACCTCAGTCTCCTGGGCTCAAGTAACCCTCCTGCCTCAGCCTCCCAAGTAGCTGGGACTACAGGCATGTGCCACCATGCCTGGCTAATTTTTTCTATATGTATTAGTTGGCCAATTAATTTCTTTCTATTTATAGTAGAGACAGGGTCTCGCTCTTGCTCAGGCTGGTTTCGAACTCCTGACCTCGAGCAACCCACCGGAGCAACCGACCCCCACCCGCCTAGGCCTCCCAGAGTGCTAGGATTACTGGCATGAGCCACCACGCCCGGCCTATAGCGATTATTTTTCAAAGCTCATATTTCCTTTCCTTAATTAAAACACCGTTGGGTTATCCTGTGTCAAGGCAGTTTTTTTCATCTATGTTTTAAAATGATATTAAAAGAGACTAAAATTTAGTCTGAGGATAGCCAAGAACACAACTCCTAAGTGGAGTATTTTCACCTTGATTCCTTTCAACTCCCAGACTGAAGGCAGAGGGCTATTTTTTCACTGGGAATGCTCTATTGTCCTTGCACCCTCAAGTGTTCGAGTAGAGACAGACATTTTGCTAGCACTCATCTCTTCTTTTGCTCGCAATGCAGATCATTCAATCATTGCTCCTGACTGTGGCCAACAATTTTGTCACCGACAAGAACTCTGGGGAAGTCATGACAGTGGGGTATGTAGAACATGGCTGGAGGCATAAGTTGTCTTTAATGGATCAGGTTTGCCCTGCGTTGCCAAGTTAGAGGATTTTAGCTGGCAGTGTTTCCTCTTGAAAAGCAGTTTAAAATATTCTTCAATCTTCTCAGGAGGTTTGGTAATTTTTTTATTGGTCAGAAATTTGAGGAGAGAACCAGAGAAAAGACACATGTCCTTCTAATCAGGATTTTGGTTTTACTAGTTTCACTCTTTCTAGAAATGAATGACTATATAGCAATCTAAGTGTTTTCCTCTGATCTCCCACTCTGACCTCATGTCTTACCCTGTGTCTTAGTCCATCTTGTGCTGCTGTAACAGAATAGCACAGTCTGGGCAATTTATAAAGAAAAGAGATTTATTTGGCTCACAGTTCTAGAGGCTAGAGAGTTCAAGGGCATCTGCTTGGCGTCTGAGGAGGGCTTCCTTGCTGAGTCATTGACAGAAGGGCAGGAGAGCTTGAGAGTAAGAGAGGGCCAAACCCGTTTTTATAACAATCGGCTCTCGAGATAAGGAACCCGCTCCTGAGACCCTAAGCGCCTTTTAACTGACCTGCCTCTTAATGCTATTACAGAGAATTACAGCAGCAATTCAATTTCAAGATGAGTTGTGGAGGGGACATTCAACTCATAGCTCCCTGGAACCAATGATTTATTATTGGATCACTCTTTTATTCTAGGACAGTTCACTTGGCCATTTTAATTAATAAGTGTTAAGTGCAGGTTTAAAGATTGTCTAATCTGTCTTCATAAGTAAGTGATAAGCTGAACAGCTGCTTTTTATATCCCTTGGAAAATAGTATTGCTGGGATAGCAACCTTAAAGACCTTTAAACTCTCTTATGTGACCTAGTCTCTTCTCTCCTTAGAGTTGGCAAGTAAATGCTGTCATGATTGAGTGTGCCAGATACCGTTATTTGTTCCACTAGTAGAGGAAGTGACGGTAACTGTCTGGAATAAAAGCCCTCAAAGGCTGCCTACCCTTACATTGTCTACCATGCCAGACCTTAGCCAAATAAAACTCAATTTATATTCCTATTGATTTAATTTTTTAGGAAACCTTAAGATGAACCACACAAAATATCTGTTTTAAAGCTTTTTTAAAATTTATTTCTCCTTTTCCAGAATCAATGCTATAAAAGAGATAACAGCTCGATGTCCTCTAGCCATGACTGAAGAACTTCTTCAAGACCTGGCACAGTATAAAACACACAAAGATAAGAGTAAGTCACAAGTCACCCTCTATAGACCAAAGAGTATGATATGACTCATTTTTACCTCCCTATATACTCTTTGCTCTAGAATATCTAATTAAAGGTATTATTTTACAGATGTAATGATGTCTGCTAGAACTTTGATTCAGCTCTTCAGAACGCTGAATCCTCAGATGCTGCAGAAGAAATTCCGGGTAGGTTAAGCATGCTTGTTTTGGTCTGAAGGTTATGGTCTCAAAAGGTAGGAGTAATTTCCTACAATTTGAATTTTAGTATTTGTGATGCTTCCATCATGAGTACTAATGATGTACGTGGTTGTGTTCTTTAGGCTTAGAATATAATTCATTGAATACCATGGCCCTAAATATTTTGTAGTTGGCACATACTCTTTAATGGTGACTAAGTCTTAAAGGCCTATCAGACTATTTCAATTGAAAGCTTTTGACACTGTTAAAAGATTGGAATCTGAAAGATCAGTCAGTACCTGATGCCAGTATTGTGGACAGGCCACTCCTAAGCCAGATACTACCTTTTTCAAGTTGGTAGGGAGGAGGATGCATGCATGTAACAGAGATTGTATTTTTGAAACTGTTAAAAATTGGAGCAGGCCCTGCGTGGTGGCTCATGCCTATAGTTCTAAGCACTCTGGAAGGCTAAAATGGGAGGATTGCTTGAGGTCAGGAGTTCGAGACCAGCCTGAGCAAGAGCAAGACCCCATCTCTACAAAAAATATAAAAATTAAGCAGGCTTGCTGGCGCATGCCTATATAATCCTGTCTACTTGGCGAGCTGAGGCAGGAGGATCACTTGAGTCCAGGAGTTTGAGGTTGCTGTGAGCTTTGATGATGTCACTACACTCTAGCCCAGGCAGCAGTGAGACCCTGTCTCCAAAAAAAAAAAAAAATTGTAGCAGTTATTCTCTAATAATTGCGAGTTTCTTGACCTGGATCAAAAGTAACTGAGAAAATAATGGACAGATTTCTGGCTGGTGGATTTCACTTTGATCTGAAACATAAGCAGACTATTTTTGTCCCTTGATTCCCTCTGTTTTTATAGGTGCTCCTTTCTGAATTCATAACCCTGGAAGATACCTTTCAGGATTAATATTCTGCAATCCAAGCACCTTATTATAAGCAATTTCCTCTCCCTTAGGGTAAGCCTACAGAGGCCTCCATAGAACAAGAGTGCAAGAATGAGCAACAAGTACAACAATGTACAAAGAGTACAAGTGTGAGCAACGTCCTGAAGGATTGGGGGATTGTTAGATTACAGGATACGAGGTGGGACATAGCACGATGGCAGGCCAGAGGCGGAGTTAGAGGCCTTATCATGGACAGCTGTGTATCTACCAGACCGAAGAGCTGAGACGTTGCCTCATGTGCCACAGGGAGCCACTTCCAGATCACCAGTGTCTGTGACTTAGGAAGCTCACTGTCGGGGCTCCACTAAGAGCCGAATACCTCATTACTGAGATGTCTGCAAGGTTCTTTCACATCCAGAATATTCTCTCTCAGTTCTCTGAAGGATTATCACCAGTTCCTCATACATGTGCGAATATGCTTCGGGGAGTTAGTCACACACTTACAGTGTGGCCAAGGCAAATGTGCAATTGCAGTCTTGAGTAACATGGTTTATTGGAAAGAAAATGGACTGCAGTGTCAAGTGCGAGTCTCATGATTTCAGCGTAGGCTGTGTTATGTCACAGCGTGGCTTGGGCATGTCACCTGACTCTGAGAGTCTTTTCCTCTTCTGTGTAGTCATGAGGCTTAGAGAGAGTGATTATAAGGTTGTGGCTCATGGTAGATCCTTAGTGCTTACTCACCATTCCTTCCATAAGCTACATTGATATGGCTTGTTTAACAGTAGATACTGCTCAATTCTTGATCAGTAGAGAATTTGAGGTTCGTTACCTTTTCTATTGCTAGCTTTAGCTTAACTTTTTTAAGTATTTAACTTTAAGGGTATGGCAGTAGTAGCAGTGTGCTCTTCCACACAGATGGATGGGAAAGCACCAGTCTCAGCGAGGAGGAAGAGGCTGATGGTGAATGGGTCGATGTGCACCACTCTTCAGATGAAGAACAGCAGGAAATTGTACGTCTTAAAATTTCCTCTTACAAGTGTGTCACTCTGATGCCTATTAAGATATAATTTATGCTGGGCCTTGTTGGGAAACTAACAGTTTAATGGCCTGGCCCTCGCTTGAGCTGTTAGCCCCTGTTTAAGCCTTTGTTTGTGGGCCTTCCAAGTCCAGGAAGCTGGACAACATGCCTGTGGAGGAGCGGAAGGCCAAAGCTGCAGCCATCAGCACTAGCCGAGTTTTAACGCAGGAAGACTTCCAGAAAATCCGCATGGCCCAGATGAGGAAAGAACTTGATGCCGCCCCTGGGAAATCCCAAAAGAGGAAATACGTTGACATCGACAGTGATGAGGAGCCCAGGTAAAGCGGCACCTGCGGCCAGACAGCTCGGGGGTCGTGAAAGCATCAGGGAAAGGAATTCCACTTCCATTTCATATCATATATCTCCCTCCCCCAGGGGCGAGTTACTTTCTCTTCGGGACATTGAGCGCCTTCATAAAAAGCCAAAGTCTGACAAGGAGACGAGACTGGCAACTGCCATGGTGAGTGGGGCATATTGTTTGTTCCCAGTTCTTTAAGCAGAAAGCACAGAGAATGAAACATGATCCAGAACTTGTATAGCCACAGAATGGCAATATTTTTTTAATGTTTTAAGTAAAGGTGTAGTTAACTGTAGAATAAAATGCACAGATATTAGGTGTTCACAGGGGTGAGTTTTGACAACCACGCATAGCCGTGTAACAAGATACAGAGCGCGGAGAGGCAGCGCTGCGTTCGTGGCGTGGGGAGGCTGAGCGTATCCATCAGCGCTGAGAGCAGCAGGGCAGTGTCCCCTCGGTGGAAAGCCAGGGGAGTCCGTCTCTGGCTGGTGCTGTGATTGCTCACGACTGCGGTCTGTCTGCATTGCCAGTTTCATCTTCCGTGCCTGCCCTTATCTTAGACACCATCCCTCACCAGTCCCACCTCACCCTCTGCCTTCTGTTTGTACCGAAACCTGTTCAAATATGAACCCGTGTCCTTTCTCTCCACACCTTGTGCACAGTATCCTTAGTTCTTGAAATCCTCTGCCCTGCCCTTCCTTTCCCTCACCGTGAATGCTTCATCCTGCCAAAAAACACCAGCTTACTTATCTCCCTTTCTAGAAAACTCCTCTGGCCTTGGCAGGCTGAATTATGCCCTTTTCTTCCACTGAGCTCCCATCGCTCCATTATAATACTTCACCATTTCTTGGCCCCTTTGGACAGAGCCCCAGGGACAAGGATGACAGTGTCCTGTCCATCTTGTGTCCTTGGCATCCAGTGCAGCACCTGGCACAGCAGAGATGTGTGTGTTGATTAGATGGCCCCTGAAGTGTGCTGTTTAAGAAGAAATGTCAAACTTTTTGTGCTGTTAGGCTGGAAAGACAGACCGAAAAGAATTTGTGAGGAAGAAAACAAAAATGAATCCATTTTCCAGTTCCACAAATAAAGAGAAGAAAAAACAGAAGAACTTTATGATGATGAGGTACAGCCAGAATGTCCGGTCAAAGACCAAGCGTTCCTTCCGAGAAAAGCAGGTGAGTTCTACTTTAAGCTTGGGTGGCAGGGACAGTCCCACAGAGACTGCTTGGCGTGAGAGACCGAACTTTGCCTTCTGAGGCCCATGCATTGTGTGTGTGTCGGGGTTAATGGGAGCGTTGTTGAATAGCAGGGAAACCTGGGAAGTGGTCAGGGCCTGTAATTCCAGACCTGACTGGGTCGAGACTCAGCTGTGGGGCCGGAAGGGAGTCCATTTTTCTCTATAAAAGTAGAGGGGTGCAAGCTAGATCATCTCTGAGGACCCTTCCCATGTTAAAATTCTCTGATATTTGGCCAGACGTGCTGGCTTACACCTGTAATGCTAGCACTCTGGCAGGTCGAGGCAGGAGGATTGCTTGAGCTCAGGAGTTCAAGACCAGCTGAGCAAGAGCGAGACCCCGTCTTTACAGAAATAGAAAAAATTAGGGGGGCATGGTGGGGAGTACCTGTACTCCTAGCTAGTAGGGAGGCTGAAGCAGGTGGATCGCTTGAGCCCAGGAGTTTGAGGTTGCACTGAGCTATGATGACGCCACGGCACTCTACCCAGAGTGACAGAGTAGGACTGTCTCAAAAAAAAAAAAAAAAAATTAAATCCTCTGACATTTAATCTGTGACATATACTATCAAAATTAATTGAATGATTTTTAGTGCCTACTTTGTGGCTGATACTTTTCAAAAAGCTAATAACAGTTTTGTTGTCATTATCCTTCCTATATATGCCCTTTTGCAAGCCTTACGTTTACAGGCCTTGGGCATTTCATTTCATCCATTTGTGGCCTTTGAATGGTAATCCGTGCTGCACAGAGGGCTGGATTATTTCAGTTGTTTGTTGTATTAAGACAAACTTATGCTTTTGTATCTTCCTCTGTTGGGGGTGTACCCGAGTGTATCTAAACGTCCTTCTGAAGAATCCCCAGGTAATCAGCTTCAGGCTAAGTAGTCCCACATTCTGAACTGCTGTTTAAATAGCTAGCCAAGGATGAGCCCTCCAGGACTGAATGCAACGGCCTCCCAGGGCAGTGCTGTCTGTGTGTGGGTGCCACGACAGTCGGCACTAACCGAATGACGTGCCCTTTAAACACTACCTATCTGTTTATTTAGTCTTTCTGTTTCTAAACTGTGTTCAACAACATCATGTAAATAATAAAGTTATGGCATTTTAGATAAAAGTTATTGAAATTGGGGTGAGAGGAAAGGTGCCATTTAAGTTCTTTTTTTAAAAAGAGACTGAGTCTTGCTCTGTCACCTAGACTGGTCTGCAGTGGGGTGATCAAACTCCTGGGCTCAACCAATCCTCCTGCCTCAGCCTTCTAAGTAGCTGGGACTACAGGCATGTGCCACCATGCCCGGCTAATTATTTTTTAAGAAGTGGGAGTCTTGCTGTAATTGTGCAGGCTGGTCTCAAGCAGTGCTCCCGCCTCAGCCTCCCCACTGGCTGTGATTACAGGTACAAGCCACCTCACCTGGCTCCCATTTAAGATTTTAAGTACTCTAAATTTTGCCACATTCTCCTAAATTTTTAGTTTAATTGACATAAATCCATTTGCCTGTCCTTTACTGGTCCTTAATAACATTTCAAGGGTAAGGAAATAGTCATCACCCAGTTGGTGGGCCTTGCTTCATTGTGAGGTTTAGGCGACTTCTAGTTAATGGCATTCCCCTTCCCCCACTTCCTCTTTTTTGGCACGATGGAGAAGCCCTGCCTTGTCAGCACCTCTGAGTCATAAGACATCTCTCTCAGAGATTGAAGAGTTTTTTATTTAAGAGTGAATTAAGAGTTCATTGGGCATATGCACTGCTTGGTTCAAGAATGCTTTTTTCTTCTTCCGCAGTTTTCTCACCTTTTGGAACCTGAAATTAATTAGAACTTCTGTATCTCTTTCTTTGCCGTCTATTTTCTTCAAGATCTCTCCTTTACAAAATGTAACTTCAGGTTCCTGATTTTCTCTATTCTCCCCTTCATTTTAGACCATTACTGTCCAGTAGGAATACAATATGAACCACATATATATTTTTAAAATATGAAAGTAAAAAGAAATATACACAATTCTGCTTTCATTCTTCATTTTCACCTTGTGTACTTCCAACACAAAATGATTAAGTTAAAAATTAGAGCTCATATTAACTAGAATATTTTGTCTTAACTACAATTATCAGGGTTTTGGCTTCTCAGTTAATGTCTTTGTGTTTGAGTCATTGTAAACAGTAAATGTTTAGCATTTATTTATTGTAAAATTTTCTTAGCTCATTTACTGCATTAAACTCATGTGAAAATCAGATAACAGAACATTTTTCTTTGTTTCAGATTTGTATATTTATAGTTATTGTAAATCTGCACAAATGCTGAATGCCATTTAAAAATCTTTAAATTATCTGTATGTGCCATATTTAGTAGAAATTTATGTGATTTTGGAAAAGATGATTGTGAAGAAAAATCTATTTTCCTGTTGGTTTTAATTTAGACAATGTATCCCACCCACAACTCCAAAATCTTAAGAGCCTTGGAGACTAGAGAAGTCCTCTGTATTGTCCTTGGAGATGGGTGATGCTCTAGTCTTTGCATTCTGTGGCTGTTCTGCTTAGAGCCTTTGCTCCCCATGAGGTGGGAACAGCAGTCAAGAGCTTTGCGTGTTTCTTAGCAGTATGGCGGCCTTCATCCTGGGTGTACAGATTTGATCTCTTAAGGAATATTTTACCATTTGTAGTTTTTCAGGATGATTTATCAACTTAGTGATTTCTTTTTAGTAGACTTTCAGATAGCCAAATTAGTATGATGGGGTACCCAAGAGTTATGTTTAAATACTTTTTTTGTATCTTTATAGCTGGCGCTACGAGATGCACTTTTGAAAAAGAGGAAAAGAATGAAGTAACTTCCAAGCAAGTTTCCATTCTAAGGAGAATGACTTAGCCATTGTGACTTGTGTCATTACTCTGCAAATTAGTAAATCAAGCATGTTTGTTTACCTTTAAAAGTCCAAAAGCACTGTGTTGTGAAAACCACAGTAAATGTGGCAGCAGTTTGGTGTTTTTTATTTTTGAAATGGGTAAGGGTGGGAGTGTTAGAGATGTAATAGCATTGGTGTTGTAAAATCATTTTATTTAGCATTCATGCAAAAAAAATTGAGTGTCATGTGTTGTCAGTGTAAATACAAAATGAATGAATTGTGACCCCTTCACTCCAGGCATTCACAACTTAGTGGGGACCAGGTGTGTTTACGATGTGTGTTTACGATGTAGTATAAATAGTTTAGTAGAGGTAGAGCCATATTTCTGTGGAGTCACTGAGGCCTTATAGACTAACTCTGTGGGGATAGGAGTTACATATTCTCTCAAAACAGGACAATGTTACAAGAGTAAGAAGTTCTTACTTGTAAATAGGCTTACCTGCTGAAAACAGGTCCCTGCTGTACAGATTTTGAGTAGACGCTTTAGCTGCTTTAGTAATCTAACAGATTCAACTATTTTTGAAGGCCCTGTAAATGCTTTTTGGTTAAGACCTCACTTTTAAAACTGCCTTAAGTATAACTAGTAACTGTGGAATGTATTTATTAGTCATCATTGGATAGGTTCCCACAGGCTTCTTTCACCCTGTAATATTTTTAGTCCACTGTCTGCCTTGTCTGAGTAAAAGGTTTCTAACGTCACATCGGTACTCTTTCTTGTGTGTCTGGCGTGGTGTGTGTTGTTCTTCCTTTCCTAGGCATGCTTGAGTCGATTTCAGGGGACAGTGTCTTTGCATGCAAGTTGCTGCATTTGGAAGTAGTTTGGTGCCTTTTGCCTTAGATTTCTTAGATAATAATGTAGTAGATCAGGAAATTGTATGTTCTCATTAGTGTTAACGGTCAATTGCCCACTCAGAATTAGAAGCAGCTTCTAAAATCACTTTTCTTGCTCCCTTTTCAGTTTCTTTTTTTTGAGACAGAGTCTCATTCTGTTGCCTGGGCTAGAGTGCCGTGGCATCAGCCTAGCTCACAGCAACCTCAAACTCCTGGGCTCAAGCAATCCTCCTGCCTCGGCCTCCCAAGTAGCTTGGGACTACAGGCATGCGCCACCATGCCTGGCTGATTTTTTCTATGTATTTTTAGCTGGCCAATTAATGTCTTTCTATTTTTAGTAGAGACAGGGTCTTACTCTTGCTTAGGCTGGTCTTGAACTCCTGAGCTCAAACGATCCTCCCGCCTCAGCCTCCCAGAGTGCTAGGATTACAGGCATCAGCCTCCATGCCCGGCCATAGAGTACCCAATTCCTTAGCTACATTTTCCACATTACTGTAGGTGAACCTGTTGTCTCCAGTTTCCAATAACATTCTCGTTTCCAAAGGTGCTACTACTGACAGTCTCCTTCAAGACCTTCAGACTTCTACTAATACTCTCTTCCAGGAACTTTGGGCTCTCACTAACACTGTTCAAAAGTCTTCCAGATTCCACCCACCACCAGTACCAAAGGAATACTGTCTTTGCTATTTGTTACAGTACCATACCACTTGTGTTCCCCAAATCTGTATGTTATCTGCTGCTGCATGGCAAGTTACCTCAAAACTTGGTGGCTTACAATGAACATTATTTCAGTTTCTATGGGTCACGAATTTGGGGGGTGGCTCAGCTGGGGCAGGCGGATCCACTTCCAAGATGGCTCACTCACATGGCTATTGGCAAGAAGCCTAGTTCCTCTCTGGCTCTTGGTAGAAGTTTTCAGTTCCTCAACACAGGGACATTTTCATAGGGCTTTGAAAGTGTCCTCAGGACATGACAACTGGCTTCCTATAGAGTGGACAATCCAAGGAGGAGCCCACAATGTCTTTTGTGAACTAGTCTCTTAAGTCAGACACCATCACCTCTGCTATATTTGATTGATTAGAACCAAGTCCCTAAGTGCATCGCTCAGTCAAGACAAGGAGAATTAAGCGACACCTTTTGAAGGGAGGAATGTTAAGAATATGTAGATACAGTTTAAAACTACACTGTCTTTACACAGAATAAAATGAGATACCCATCTTTTTTTCTTTTTCTTGAGACAATCTCGCTGCGTTGCCCAGACTAGAGTATCTAGAGTGCCGTGGCGTCAGCCTAGCTCACAGCAGCCTCAAGCTCCTGGGCTCAAGCGATCCCCCTGCCTCAGCCTCCCCAGTAGCTGGGACTACAGGCATGCGCCACCATGCCCGGCTAATTTTTCTATTTTTAGTAGAGATGGGTCTTGCTCTTGCTCAGGCTGGTCTGGAACTCTTGACCTCAAGCCATCCCCCCATCTCAGCCTTGCAGAGTGCTAGGATTACAGGCGTGAGCCACCATGTGGGCCTCAAAGTTACTAGAAATTACTTTTTTTTTTTTTTTTTTTGAGTCTCACTTTGTTGCCCAGGCTAGAGTGAGTGCCATGGCGTCAGCCTAGCTCACAGCAGCCTCAAGCTCCTGGGCTCAAGCGATCCTCCTGCCTCAGCCTCCCGAGTAGCTGGGACTACAGGCATGTGCCACCATGCCCGGCTAATTTTTTATATATGTATATCAGTTGGCCAATTAATTTATTTCTATTTATAGTAGAGACGGGGTCTCGCTCTTGCTCAGGCTGGTTTTGAACTCCTGACCTTGAGCAATCCGCCCGCCTCGGCCTCCCAAGAGCTAGGATTACAGCCATGAGCCACCGCGCCCGGCCTAGAAATTACTTTTTTATATGCAAATGTCCTTTTAACTCAGCTAATCTGCTGCTGGCGATTCTCTCAATGGGCCCCTAGCCTGAGCACGCCCCATAGCCTGAGCACGCAACTGCTGTTACAAGCTTTGCGACTGAAAATTAAGATAGGGGTCTTAACTTAGATCTTATGAAAGAAAAACATGGAAGAAGCTGGAACAGAGGCTTGAAACTTTAGTCCAGTGACATGCAGGCCATAAAAATGGGAAAAATCAGAGGCAGTGACTGTGTATTTTTTTTAAGTTATTTCATACTAGTTTATTTAGGGGTTCCATTTTCACGCAGTCGATTTTACGCGTTTCTCATACACTCCACTCATTTGTTCATCTAGCTCTGAAGGGTTGGTTACTCAGTGTCATCTCGATCAGCCAACCATCTTCGTAACAAGATTTGTGGACAAGTCCTGGATTTTCTGCAAGAGCTTCATTCACTTTAGTTGCTTCTCCTGATAAAGGAGAAGGGGGTTGGCTAGCAGCTTTCACACTTTCCAAAACACGAAACTCGCCTTGTTTCATGCTGGCCTACCTTCGGCAGACTGCAGGCAACGTCTCAAAGCTTGCTGTGCCAGCGCTGCCGCCCACGGTGCCGACACCGCTTTCCGTTGTGAGCCGTTCGCGGTCCCCGCACGCTCCTCCGCGACACCGGTGTACAATTTGTTAGGCGGGAAAAAGCCCTGGAAAAAAAATGAATTTGCCATTTACTTTACCTGCAGACGACCGTGCTACCCATTGAGAATGTCCCAGCCTCACTAACGTGACTTTCCTAGGATTTGTGCGTCTTCCGTCTCCTGGCTAGTGGGGACGCGAAGAGGGGCGAGGGGCGCCAAGTGGGTTGGGGTTCAGGCGGCCTGACCTCGGGCGAGTGGCTTCACCGCTCCAGGCCCGGCACCCCTCCTGGGCGAACCGGGACGTTTCCGGGGAACCCGCCTTTGGCTTGTTTTCATGACTAAATGCGACAGTGTACGCAAAAATGCTCGGCGCATAAATGCTAGCTACGTTTTTGGCTATTTCTAAAGCAGATTTTTAACTGAAAAGAGGTGGGAGCGTTGGAAAGGAAAAGCTCTTCTGCACGCCATAAGATCCGAATGTAAAAGTGGAGCGGGGGCACTCTGTCGCCGGCCCCTCTCGGCCGCGAGGGACTGGGCCTCCGCCGCCCGCAGCGCCCGCGCCCGCGCCCAGAGGCGGGGCAGGAGGCGCGGCCGCGGCGCGGACTTGGGGTCCCTCCCGGGCCGCGTGACCGTGACAGGGCCGGCGGGCCGGCGCAGGCCCGCCCGGTCGCGCAGGCCCGCCCCGCCGGCCGCGCTCCTGCAGCGACTGCCGCCGCGGGCCGGGCTGCGGCCGGAGCCCCGCGCGACCCAGCCATGCCGGCGCGGGCCGAGGCCCGCTCCGCGCGCCGCTGCTGCTGCTGCTGCCGCTGGCGGGGGCCGCGCTGTGCCCCGCCGCCCCGGGCCCGGCGCCGCCGCGCTTCAACGTGAGCCTGGACGCGGCGCCCGCGCTGCGCTGGCTGCCCGTGCTGCGGCGCTACGACCCGGCCGCGGTGCGGGCCGCGGTGGCGCGGGTCGTGGGGTGAGCGGGCGGGCGGGGCGCGGGCCGGGCGGCGGGGCGCGTTCCCGTTCCCGCTCAGGGTGGCGCGCGGGTCGCCGGGCTGCTCGGCGACCGAGCAGGACACACGGCCGACCTGTCCCGGGGGCCGACGCCGCCTCCTCTCCGGGCTCCTCCCGCCCGCCCGCCCGCCCGCCCGCGGGCGCAGCCCTGGCCGCCCGTCCACACCCGCGCTTTCCCCCTCAGGGACCGAGTCCCCAGCTGGGTCCGCGCGCTGCTCCGCGAGGCGGCCCTGGCGCTGGAGCCGCGCCTGCCGCAGCCCTTCGCCGGCGAGATCCGCGGCCTGTGCGACGCGCTCAACCTCAGCCTGGCCGACGGGCTGCTCGTCAACCTGGCCTACGAGTCCTCCGCGTGAGTGCGCGCGTGCGCGCCGCGTGAGTGAGTGCGCGCCGGGTGAGTGGTTGCGCGCCGCGTGCGTGAGTGATTGCGCGCCGCGTGCGTGAGTGATTGCGCGCCGCGTGCGTGAGTGAGTGCGCGCCGGGTGAGTGAGTGCGCGCCGCGTGCGTGAGTCATTGCGCGCCGCGTGCGTGAGTGCGCGCCGCGTGCGTGAGTCGTTGCGCGCCGCGTGCGTGAGTGGTTGCGCGCCGGGTGAGTGGGCGCGCGCCGGGTGAGTGCGCGACGCGTGCGTGAGTGGTTGCGCGCCGGGTGGGTGGGCGCGCGCTGGGTGAGTGAGCGCTGCGTGAGTGAGCGGGCGCGCGCCCTCCAGAGCCCGCGT